ATTATTAGTGATTGTAAATGTATATTGCCAGTTATCCCTAAATACTTTTTTTTCGGACGCTAGCAGACGTGTGAGAGTTGAAGCTTGAAATTGCAGTTTTATTAGCAAGCATCACAAGACAGCAAATTCATCTATGTATGTTTTTTGAAAGAGGTTTTGAAAGGCATAAGACAAATGTACAAAACATTGTATTTGACTTTTATATATTTTCCATTTAATTTGCAAACCTATAAACAAGACATTGATTTATAGTTGCAATATCTTCAGCTTCTTTTGATCAATTCCTTCATAGAATTATTGGTTCAGTAATGATAATAATTGGTTGCAGAAGACATCTTACAGTAAGGTTTACTGAGTGATGATTATGTATTATATAATTGTTTTGATTACATTTTAAGTGATTGTCAGTGATATTTTTATTACAGTTTTGATTGATTGTCAAAAGACTATGTATCACTGCGGTATGATCTATATGTGGTGCTCAGTTTATTGATTTGTATTCTGCCATTGACAGGCCCAGGAGAATGGAGCAAGTGAGAACAGTCAGACTCGTCCTCAAGTGGGCATTTCACCTACTGCTTCATCCTCTGATCCTCTGGCATTCTTTGCCAGTCTAATGGCAGAGGCATTTGGTGCCAGGCAGGGCTCAGCTACACAGCAACAGCAACATCAGCAGCAACAGCAACAACAGCAACAGCAGCAGCAGTCACAGTCCTCTGCTGCTGATGGTGGTGAACCTCAGATCAGTGACCAGATGTTTGCCCAGTTAGTCCAAGTAAGTAAAACAGGAGAAAAAATATATGTAGATACATTATTTCACACATTTTATGTCTTATTTGATATGAATATTAGTTTCCTTATCAGTAATAATAATGTTCTTTTTCATGTTAGGGCGTCATGAGTCAAGTCTCTGGTTCACTGAATACTGAAGGCAATGGTAGCAGCAGTCAACAGTCAGGTGCATCATTGCATGAATTCCTGCAACCCTTCGATGGTGGGATGTTTAGCGAAGGGGATGAAGATTCTCTCTTTTATCAGTTGTTCAACACTGTGGTAAGTTAGAGGATACTATAGGTGACTGTACTGAGAGATGTCCCATGATATTACTTTTCTTTTGATTTTCATTCAATTTAAGCTGCTAGTTGATAATCTTGACAGACCCCAGTATCTTTTTTTTTATTCCCCACACCTCTTTGTACTCTTGTATGAACAAAGTGTAAGTTCCCCTTTCTTTCACTATCAAATAGGCAATGTCGCTGTCAATAGGAGATCTTGTTCAGTTGTTCTTTGGAAGAGCAACAACAGCCAATCAGTTGCGTACGCCCTTGCAAGAGTTCGTGAGGGAGAGGGCATTAAAGGGAAACCAACCCACAGAGGAGAATCTCGACCGTGCCATAGACAGCGTCATCCATGACCTCCACCCACATCTAGTATTGACTGCAGTAAGTGCATTTCTTTACTTTTATTTGATTAAGTTTGTGTTTGTTAAAAGTTTTAAAAGTTATCCAGAATATTATTTTTTGATATTGAGAATATTTTACCTTATCTTCCTCTTTCTGTTATATTGTGATTATTTATTATTTGATTGGGTTTCAGCAGATGGTGACATTTTATCTCTATATTAACAGGGAGATGCACATGTGCATGAAGGAATTGATTATGTCAATACAGTTCACAACTTTATTCGACATCGCTTACATGACATTTTCAACTTAGTTTTGAATCACAGTAAGTGAAATTTGTATCTGTTTTCACTTGATGTGGAAATGAATGAAAGTTATGTTCAAACTCTATATTCCTTGCAGATTCTTGTAAGATGTTCTTTCATATTAATGAAATAAATTTTCTGTGTAAAATGTTTCTTGTGACAGGATATTTACTGTAACAATGTAGGTGGATTCAACCACTTGATTGACCTACTATTTGAAAATTATTGCTTTTTGGTAATTTCAATTACATTATTTTATACTCTCAATGGTGATGCCATATGTCAATTAATAAAATTTTCGTCCTAGTACTTACACTTCTGATTTTCTCTTCCTTAGCTGATGCTGAAACATTTGGTCCTTCCCTGGTATCTCTTGTCCGACGAGCATTGTGGGAATTCATAGCACTCTCCCTTCACTGCTTCACAGACGGTGCCCAAGGGCTTGAGAGAGTTATTCAGGAACGAGTGGTAAGTAATTCAGCAATTGGTTGAAGTGAAAGTGATGTTATTTAAGGCAGTGGTTCATGCCCCCTCCCCCTTCTTCTTTCACTCACTCACTCACTCACTCACTCACTCACTCACTCACTCACTCACTCTTTCACATAAAAAAATCTTACTCTTAAAGGAAAGATACTTGAAAAAGCATTTTTAGTCTTTGTAAACAACACTTGTTAATATTCCAAATTCAATAAGGGCATTTCCTAGTTTTCTCCTGGGCTTATATCCGATGTAAAAGATTACCACTATCCTCCCAGTTCGCATTTTGATATGTCATTGATTTTTTTTATGTCCTACAGAGATCCATAATGGCTGGTGTCAGTCCTGCAATTCAGACATGGTCAGTAAACACTTCAATCATGCAGCTGAGATCTATGATGAGCCGCATGACTATAACAGATGATCACATCCGCCGATATGTAGTATCTCCAGATGAGGGAAGGCGAATGGAGGAAGAACGAAGTCGTAGACTGCGTGATAGTGAGTCTCCAGCAGCGGAGCCTACCCCCTTACCACAAATGACCTCACATCATTCTTCAACAGCAGACAACATGGTCCATGTGACCCCAGCTAATGTACCTGCTGAAGAGGTTGGTTTTAGGGATCTGAAAGCAGGATATTGCATTGTTTTTTTAATTTCACAAATGATATGGAAATGATGGTATTTGCTGGCTGAATTCCCTTTTTATCAAAGCTTTTGTCATATTGTCTCTCCTTCCTGTTAGCCCATGGAAGTGGAAGAGGTTGGATGTATGGAGGAAGTCATAACCACAGGGGTTGAGGCAGAGTTAGAAATTGCGACTGAAGGAGCCACTGGAGGAACTGAGGAAGCAAAGGAAGATGAGTCTCTCACAGAAGAACCACCTGTTACAATAAATGTTGGATCTCAGCCTTGGCATCCAGCTGTTCCACAGGTGAGTTTCTAGTGAAGGTGTCTTGAAGGACGAGGTAGCTGATATGTGAGCTTTAACCCCAGAAATACTTATAGCATTGGTAACAGCATAATCTCAGTTTCAATAATAAATACTAGAAGCATTCGGACAGTGCATATCTATGCCAATGCATACCTATGCCAAGGCAGTAGGGTCACTGCTGTATATTTACACGGAAAGAATCACATTAATATCACCATTTCCTTAAGTACACTGGTGATGTCTGTGTTTCCCAATCTTGCAATGCTAATAAATCCTTTAAAAAATTCCTGGATCCGGTTCACCACCAAAATTTAATGACATCTAAGTTGGGCTAAGACACACCTCTGGTAAAAATTTCTTAAAACACAGTATAACTCCAAATGTTATATAAAAGTTGACCAACAAACAAACAAATCTGGATCATGATCCGTATCATCACCATGATTTCCTGATATGTAAGTTGGGCTGACACCACCTATAAATATTTCATAACCTGTTTATAACTTTTTGAGTTACCTTTCTAACAAACTAACCAAAAACATAACCTCCGTGGCAGAGGTAAAAATGACAATAGGAATTATGTGAAAAGCATAAGAGGAAATTGAATTATTTCATAAAAATTCTAGAAATAGGATATCAGGTGAGGTTAGGTAGTCCTACTAATTAACTCCTTGACTGAGCTCTTTTAAGGTCCTCTGCATGTAAACAAATTTCACATAACTAAGCTAAAGTGAACGGTGCATTTACCTGGTGCCAATGGTTTGAATTATTTAGATAGACAAATAGATATATAGATATATGGATACAGAGATAGGTAGGTAGATACTTGCATATATATAGATAGATAGAGATAGATAGATACTTTCATATACATAGATAGATAGAGATAGATATATACTTGAAGATAGTTGGATAAATAGAAAGCAATTTATGTAATAAATAGAAAGATAAATGAATAGCTAGATAGCCCGATAATTTTATATACGTGATATATAGTTATATAAGTAAGTAATTAGGTCAGTATATTGCTAGATTAATAATAATAAGTAGGTGCAGAGAAAAGTAGTATTGGTTTTCATTAATAAATTTCATGTACTCTTCATTGTAGGACTGGATACCAGTTATAACACGTGATGTGGAGAGACAACAGCGCGGTGTTCCAGATACAAACCTGAGTGATGCCTACCTTTGTGGGATGCCACTCAAACGTCGCAAGCTTGCTTCTCAGCACAAACCTCATGGGACAGTGCAGCAGGTTATACAAGGTTAGTAGAGGCTTATACTTTAGATCCTGTAGAAGCGCTAAGGCCAAGTACATTTTTATTATATCGCCTTTTTTTTTTTTTTTTTTTTGGTAAAATTGTGGTTAGTTGAATGATTAAAGAAATCAATATGAATGTTGGTATTGTGTGGGTGCATGTCTTGTTCTCTGCAGAAATATTTCCTGAAATAGACTTTGCAGAAATCTCTTAACATTTCTGTGTATTGAATGATCTTGTATAAAAAGATACTATTTTACAGTCCAGGACATATCCTGAGAAAAGCATAACTAGCACTTCATAATCACCCTGTTTACCCCACAGATACCTTGCGCCACAGCATGAGAGGAGTCGGTGTTAATCGGGTTGTGGTTGAAAGTGTTGCAGGAGAAGCGGCTAGTCAGCTCGGTGAATCGTTTGCTGGCCATGTGCGCACATCTCTCAGGCAGCGGCTAAATCATAACAAAGACTTCAAGCCTGAGAAATTTCCAAAAAGCGAGCAACATATACTAAAGGAAAAGTGAAAGGAGGGAAGACCACTTTTGTTTTTTCTCTCTCTTTTCTTTATGTATTATTATTATTACTAAAAATAGTCTGCAGTGTGGAAAAGCAGTATTAGTGAATGTGATGAAAGTTGACTGTGGATCCATATGAAGAGCTTGTTATAGCTAAATTTACTACAACCGAGTGTCACTGAAAATTAAATTATATTCAAAAACACTTCAGTGAATGGTATTGAAAAGCAAAATAAATGCAGGGAAATGTTAGGAGTGTGATGGTATGGATAAAGTTAGCCACTTTTTTGTTTTACCCATTGTACAGTAGAGGGAATTCTTCAGAATACGAACACACGTATTGTAAGCAGGTATGATAGATGTTTAATGGTACTTCATTGCATGCACATCCTGTAACTTTTGTACATGCTTTTGTGATTTTATTTTGAATCCAATGCTTGCTGCTGATGTAACATAAATGAAAACAGTTGTAGAGTGAAAGAAATAGACATATGCATATATTTTTTGTTATATATTGACAGTCAAATGTATATAAGTCTGCAGAGATTTTTATTCATGGCATTTTTTTCTTAAAAGTAACTGCACATTGTCAAGGCAAGCCAAAGGTTGTCCGAAATTGGCTATTGCAAATTAAAGGTAACCGTAATCATTGGTGTTCATACCCAGAGTATCAAGATCTCTGTTTTATATATATATATATATACTGTAAGGAAACTTGTTTACCCATGCAATATAGAAAATGATAGGAATTCATAGAATATTTACAGTGTTATTGTACAGTGTGTAATCATTCTGTGATTGATGAAGATATCAGTTATGTGACAAGTCAGGCTGTAAGTTAGGAAACAATCAATATGAAAGGAATTATAGGTCTTTTATTATTCATTGTACATAATACGGTTCCGTAGATTTTCTTGAATCCATTGAAATTTACTTGAGTCAAGGGTATATGATTTAAAAAATGATTAATTCACTCTTCACCCATACCAAATATTATTGCCTTTCCCATGTCTGTATCTTTGCTGTAATACTGCCACTCGCACATATAAATTAAACCCATTCGGTAAATGGTTGAGTGTGGAATGGAAAACATTTGCACTAATAGTATTTTATGAATTATTTCTTATATGTGATGTTACTATTTTACACTCTTAGGTATCATTAGAGATGCATAGCTTCAAGAAACTGTTGATGTATGTGTGTGTGTGTGGGTGCATGTGTCTGTATACATGTGAGAGAATATGGATTAAAATATTGATGGTGCATCACAAATGAATAAATAAAATTTGATAGTCTGTGGTTTTCTGTTTATGAGCAGTTATCTGGAGAAATGTGTGTAACCTAAAGCCTTGAAAAATTTAGAATTTGGCATAAAGTATAACTGGAGGTATTCCTGAATTGATTCCACGAATATCAAGGATGACTTGATAGAAGCAAGTTTAAGAAACATGATTAGAAATATTCAATCTCAAAAATGCAATATTTAACCATAACACTACATGAGGATGTGCTTGTTTAGGACAACAGAGGTTGGGATTTAAATATTTGACTATGTATGCTCAACTTTTGTGCTAAAGTAGGCTACATCTGTTTAAACATATATAAAAATCTTTTAAATGCTGTTTTATTATAATATCCTTAGTAATCTTCATCCGTTACTAGAGGCATTAATTCTTAAATATTTTTATTCTCTTTTTGTTTATTAATTTATTATACATTCAGCATATTGAACTTGAGAACATAATGTGCCTCTGCTTCCTGCCAGTATATTCAAGCCAGTGATTTGGAGAAAATGATTGGGAAACAGTGATAAGAGGAAATAAAAATAAAAATTATATAAAAAGTAATGAAAAATCTGCTGTAAAAAATAAGTACCCTACTTCATGAGTAAATAAGAAGTAAAGAATTAATATTTTCTGACTTGTTCGCCAGCCTCATGGACTATGATGCAGTATCAGTACAATGCTATATCATTCTCCCTAGGGACAGCCATTAGTCCACCAAGATCACTTTCGATAGACATTCCTCCCTTTTCGACCATATCAAACTGATCTGCACAGTTAGGCACGTGTGCCAATTGTGATGGCTCCCATAATGTATATCACAAGTGCAGCCCTACCTGTAAGTAGGAGTCTGAGGTGTCAATTCTCAGATTCAAACTTGTCCTCACTTTACGAGAGGCCAGACAGGAAGCACGTTGGCGCTTTTCTCAGACTCCCTACTCGGGGGCAGTCCTTCGCTCCACACCTTCCCCTTCCTCCCAAGATGTTTCTGCACCCCTCCCTGTGTCTGTTCCTCATCCATCTTACGTTTCTACTTCTATCCCATCCCTCCCAATCAAATTCTTTTGCCTATCCATATCTAGACACCTCATTCTCTACCACTGCCCCGATACCTATCCTTCCTCCTCGCTCTACCCGTAGCAGGCAATCTAAACCTCCCCAACCTACTCCACTGTAGCAACTCTAGCAGACATCCAAAACCTTCTAACCTTATCCCTAAACAACCTAAACATCCCTCTTCTACCTGCCAATCTTACTACCCCCCCCCCCATCCCTTGCCCGTTGTTGTCGTGGAGGAGCTTAGAAAACGGGGACTGAGACACAATGCAGGGATCTCCCCTGCCTCGGGCCTCAGCCCTCGACTCGACTAATTTTGCATGGTCTTTTCTCCCTCCCGCTCTCGTTTCCGTCCCTTCTCCAACCCCTTCTTCTATCTACTTCCTAAGGTGTAAGAGCCGTGCTGAAAGGATGAAAGGCCGACTTTGTGCTAGTCCTGCAAGGCCTGAGGGAACCATGGGCACGGTATTCCCCTGTATAGTTCTCAAGCACTTACCCCATCAAGTGGACCCTGAGGGCTTGAATGTTTCTTTCCCCAACATAGTCAAGGCTTCCCATGGCCAGTAATGAAGTACTAATACCCGTATTTGGGGCAATGAGGCTTGCCCCTTCATCAAACAGCCGCACCAATTCAAGCTATCCCGGCTCGCCGACCCCAGGCTTTCCTTTTACTACGACTCTGAACACTACAAGTACTACCCACTCAATGCCTACTAGTGAATTATCCACCCAGGTGGAGACAGTCTCCAGAAGACATTCCTACTCTCCCAACTTCTGTGACTTCATCACCTCTACCCTCACAACTTTCTTCATCACTCACCCCCATCTTCCCGTATTGCTACCTTACAGCCTTATTCTCCATCTCTCCGTAACACTACCCCCTTTTATTCCATTAAGACCATCAGAAAACGCATTGCCACCTTCTCCCTGTCCTCTGTTGAGTCCTATAATGCTCCTTTTCTTCCTCTCAACTTCACTCTGCCTTATAATCGTGCCACAACACCCAGGAAGGCCCTGACGGTATTCCGAGGTACTTAACACAATTAGCCACATGCCGTCTAGATCAGTGCATAAACCTTTCCAGGCATGTATCCTCAGATCTTTCCACTGTAAAAAAGTCCTTTTAATTCTACATGTAGCCTTTGTTCTTCAATCAATCAACTCCTAGTTATGGATGCTTCACTAGTACTTAAAATCCCTTCAGTCTCCTGAAATTCTCGCCCCACGTAACCTTCAAAGAAATCCCTTAATGAAAATCCCTCTTTGAAAATTTCAAACTCGAAATCTGGTACATCTACAGTCAATTCTGTGTCAGGGACGCCATTACTAATTACACAACCTTTACTCTTGCTGCGAGTGACAGCACATGTAGGAAAGAGTGAAGGCTGTTCTTTCTCTAACTACTCTGTGTTGTTCTCGCTCGTAGGGTGAAGCGAGACCACAGGGCATGGTCGCATCCTGTTCCCTGCTAGAGCAAGACTGATACCCCATTAGATATCCTATCAACCACAGCTAATTTGAGATAATCAGTTACTAGCTCTGATCTCAGGTAAACTCTGCATAAAGCTATACCATCCACTCTCATTACACACACCATCTATACAAAGTCTCGCCTGTATAGCACACCGGTGAAGGCACTCCATCCCGTGGCATCCAGGGAGACCAGAGAACCGGAATCACGCAGGAGATTGAGTAGTCGGGCATGCTCGGACGAACGGTCGAAACCAATAGTACCTGGGGATGCGAAGGGTCTGAATAAAGGGTGTACAGACTCAAGGGTATGAATTTCCGAAGGTGTTGGGAGGTCAGAGTCATGTTTGATATCAAAAGGAGACGAGAATGCTGGAGGGGGGAAACTGACTCACGAGTACCAGGCGTTCGCCTGTTTGTCAATTTGAGGCATTGATTAATTTCATCAGTTCATATATATATATATATATATATAATATATATATATATATTATATATATATATATATATATATATATATGAACTGATCATATGTGTGTGTGTGTGTGTGTGTGTGTGTGTGTGTGTGTGTGTGTGTGTGTGTGTGTGTGAGCGTGTGTGTGTTGTGTGTGTGCGTGTGCGTGTGTGTGTGTGTGTCGTGTGCGTGTGTGTATGTGTGTGTGAGCGTGTGCGTGTGCGTGTGCGTGTATGTGTATGTGTGTATGTGTATATTCTCAGCTGTTGAGCCAAGATGGCGACCTCAGTGTCCTGGTTTCCCGCGAGGCGGCGATCGATGAAGTAGGCCGAGCCCGCCACGATGTAGCAGTCGTCGGCGAGATGGAGTGGACGTCCGTCGGCTTCGGCTCCTGCTTCCCCATGCACAAGAAGATTAAGTAATCGGTTGGGAGCAAGCATGAGCCGACGGCCCGTAATTCCTCGCCGATTTTATGGTACATCATCCGTGTGGTTTCATACTGACAGATTATATTACTATCAGCCATGATAAGATGTAGTAAGTTTTCATATTCAATATCCGGTAGCATGGCCATGACCACATATACGCAGAACTGTTGCCTCGAACGAATTTTCTGAATAATCCTTTTGACAATCTCGTATGAGATTGTGTTAACGGCATTATCGACAATATCAAATACTCGGTCACAGACATCCCAAATTTCACAGTCCTAGTATGCAGACGATCCCGCAAAGTACTGACTCTCCATGTACAAGAACTCTTGCGCATTTGTTAAAACTTCCAAGGCGCCCCTCTGAATGCTTGTGTCGACCCAAGAATCAGCAACCTGCACAAGGCCAGGGC